AACCTGGGGCTGCCCGTGGCCGACTGGCTCTACTCGGCCTGGCGATACTCGCACCCGCCGCTCCTCGAGAGGCTGCGCGCGCTGGGGGACGCTCACAAGGACGACTGACGGTCCCCCCCCCCCCCCCTCCCCCCCCCGTACAGCACGCATTGACACACGCGCACGGACACGCACGCTCACTCAAACTCGGGCGGCCGGGTTCGGAAGGGGCAACCGCGCTTACCGCTACACCACACCGCTCCCCAATACCAATACAACCGCCATTCGCCACTAAGTGACTGCGACGTCAGCACAGTGCCTGTGCCAGGCCAGGTGCACGTTGAGGCTATCATGTGAAGTGTCGAAGGCTCGCTGGCAGGAGGTCATGGGACAGACCCAGTTTGCTATGGGTTGGCTGACCGATATGACTGGTAGATGCACCAGCTGTACCCCGTACTTGCTAACTTTCTGCATTTTGGCCGTCCGGCACTCCGCTTGTTGTTGTGAGCGTCGCTCCTCTGCCGTCAGTTGTTTTTGGAGGGCGACTGCCTCCAACTGCCCAGTAGCATCCTTCACGAGCCTCCTCCACAGAGGCCGATCTTGACACCCTTGTTACCAGTATACGGCAAGTCCAATCGGCTCCACGTTCTCCCGTACCCCATCAGTCCATCTCCTCTCCAGCCCGTGTGCCCATTTAGCCCCCCCTGTATGCGGCCAAGCACGCACATGCATCCACACGCACAATTATACATATGCCTGCTTACGAACGCACACACAAGACAAAGATCAATCCGTGTAACCGTATTCGACTGTTGGGGCAAGTGCTGTTAGCGAGCAGCACTTCCGATGAAGGCCGGCACGGCACATAAGGTGGCCAGCACCACTCCCAGCCGCCTTTGTCTCCCCAGTGATGATGTTTACACACCGCACGAGCTACTAATGTTAGGCTAAGTCGACCCAGAACCGGTTCAGATAATCGTCATTGATGTTGGCCGTGAGCGGGAATCGAACTCGGGTCGCCGGGTTCGTAGCGCAGCGCGCTAACCACGACACCACCGCTCCCCACAAAGGCACCAAGACACACACAGTGTTCAAACTTGAATCAAATAAAAATGTAAAGCATTTGAACAGCTGTGGACTTTTATTGACGTGCCACTATTACGATTCCTAATCGGGTTAACTTGTGAAATGTTATTTTTCCCTCCCTGTTTTGTGTTTTGTCAGACTCCCGCTTAGTCGTGTACGCGGCTTGGCCGTTAGATTATCGTTTTGTCCTAAGATGGCTATTGTTGAGCTTGGCTTAAATAAGCAAATGAAAAACATACAATTGCTTTACTGTGCAAGTAAAGAATGCGTGTGTTTGAATATTTATACCAACATATGCTGCAGACCCCGCACTCAGCTTCATCCGGCACTGGACGTTACACGGGATGTATCTGCGCTTGCCTCGAGCGCCTTCGTGCCGTGGAGTCGCGATCCTGCGGCTGGTGCGGTGTGGGGGAGCGCAGACACCGTCGCGTGGCGCGGGCGGTGGTGCGGTGGTTGGGGTGCCTGTGTAGTGTTGACAAAGGAGGCAGAGGCTTCTTCGTAGGCAACGCTGTTTATTTACTCTAACGTCAGAGAACGCCCCTAACACAGAGAGGTAACGGCCTCTCCCTCCCGATAGCCTAGAGGATGATACGTCCTCACACTTGGCGTGCCCTCCTCACGCTATACTCTGCTTAACGGGTAACCGCCACTGGGCCGTTCGGACCTGGCACTGACAAGGGCCGGAGGTCGGAAGTCCCAGGGGGCAACTATCTGGGATGTCTTGAGTCTTGAGGTGAGTGCGGACCGACTCACGCTGGGAGAGCTGCTGCTGGGCTTTATATCCTTGTCTCTCCCAAGCGTCGTCCTGTCTCTCGAGAGGGTCTGGGTCCAACCGTTGCCCCAGCCCCATTCCTCAGAGGGCTGCGGCCCCCTCACCCCTGGTCAACGGTTATTGTAGTCGTGACTCACACAATACTGCTTTGCAGGTAAGTATACATGTTGCGCGTAACAATGCCGCTACACTTGCGTCAGGAGAGCGAGGGGAGCAGTGCTGCATGAAGCTGAGTGCGGGGCCTGTAGCAAATGTTAATAAAGGGGCCCTAAATAAAAAAACAAAATATTAAAACACGTTTGTTTAACTTGCACAGTAAAGTAATTGTATTTTTTCATTTGCCATGCAGCCAGATAATACGACAAATCGCCCGCCTTAAACTCTACACTCGTTCATGAGAGTTGAAGGCGGCATAGCACTGTAGTGACCGAGCGAGTGCAGAATCACTGAGACGGAATTGATGGCTTCAAAGCGTTCAGCGTGGGGCCCTTGAAAGTGCGTGGCCCCGTTGCATTCGCAGGCACTTTTTGCCGTCGAGGACAATCCGGCACGAGAGGGGGGTAGGGGTGGGGTCGGGGCAGTCTGTGGCACGGTGGCTTAGCTCGCTGTGGTTTATCTCGTGCGGCCTAGCGTGGCTTGTGCGGTGTGGGCGTGGCCGGGCAGCGGCTTAGCGCGTCACAACACCCCCCGTCACGTGCCGCGGCGTTTCTGGTGGTGCTCGTGGGTCTCGCGCGCGCCCCCGTGTGGCTGACTGGCGGCACTGCGGCTGGTTGGGGGGGGGGGTGCAAGCACGCGGGACTCGGAACAGCTCCATCGGGGTGGGGGAGGGGGGTGGTGACGGAGGTCTGCTGCCGAGCCTCCTCTGCCACCTCTACCTGTGCCGGCATCCCGGGGGGTCCGATGCGATGCGGGATTCAGGAGGTCATCTCCGAGTGGTGTTTTTTTTTTGCTCCATCGCAGGATCGAGAGGGTAGCAACGGATTTTTTGGCAAGAGGAGGCCTTCATCTAGCAGTGGATTGAGCCTGGCTGATGATGATGATGAGTGGGTCAACAGCGACAGTGGTATAGTGGTGAGCATAGCTGCCTTCCAAGCAGTCAACCCGGGTTCGATTCCCGGCTGTAGCAAGCTATAGTTTAATATAGTTTTCCTATTTAAATAGAGGCGCCTCATCCACGACGCGTGAACAAACACCGACCGCGTGCAACACAAAGCGATGGTTCGTTAACATTTGACAAATTATTGTGGTGGTGACGCTGCCGCTCCATTGGTGTGACGAGCACAATCGACAAAAACTCCGCTCGTGAAGTGACGTCACCAGGCCTTCATCCAGCAGTGGATTGATCGCGGCTGCTTATGACGACGCAGGATGGGGAGTCCTACTTGCTGTGCCGCCTTGCACGAGGCCACCCGCAGCAGCAGCAGCTCCTGCGACTCCCACTGTGACCTCTCTCTCCCCCTCTCTCTCCATCTGAGTTCAACTCGGACAAATTTAAAATAATAAATAACTGCTTGGAAGGCAGCTATGCTCACCACTATACCACTGTCGCTGTTGCTGTTAAGCAGCTTGCTGTTGACCCATTCATCATCAACATCATCATCAGCCACATCATTATCATCACCATCATCCATGCTCAATCCACTGCTGGATGAAGGCCTCTGGCATCCCTTTGCCAGGCGAGAGTGCAGCCCCACGAGGTCCCCTACCGCACGGCAGGGGCTGTGGAGGAGCGGACACGAGACGGAGCATCGCCAGACAGTCACGGATGATCATCACCACCATCATCACCATGATCATCACCACCATCACCACCGTCATCACCATCATCACCACCACCACCACCATCATCACCATCATCACCACCACCATCATCACCACCATCATCATCATCACCACCACCACCACCATCATCATCACCATCACCATCATCACCACCATCACCATCATCACCACCACCATCATCACCACCATCATCATCATCACCACCACCACCACCATCACGATCATCACCATCATGATTATCACCACCATAATCATCAAGATCATCACCATCATCATCACTATCATCAACACCACCATCATTTTCATCACCGCCACCGTCATCATCACCACCACCATCATCACCACCATCATCACCATCACCACCACCATCACCACCACCATCACCACCACCACCACCATCATCATCACGATCAACATCATGATGATCATCACCACAATCATCACCATCATCACCATCACGATCATCACCATCATCACTACCATAATCATCAAGATCATCACCATCAGCACCACCATCATCACCACCACCACCATCATCACCATCAGCACCACCATCATCACCATCATCAACACCACCATCATTTTCACCACCACCACCACCATCATCACCACCATCATCACCACCATCACCACCATCATCATCACCACCACCATCATCATCACCATCACAATCATCACCATCATTACCATCACTACCATAATCATCAAGATCATCACCATCAGCACCACGATCATCACCATCACCACCATCACCACCCTCAGCAGCAGCAGCCTCGAGTCACTCGGCGAGTCTCTCACGGGCTCTGTGCATCACCACTCACAGAGGGATATTTACCCCCAGCACTGCTGGGTCAAGTCACCTGCTGTGAGTGTGAGTTGCTGTGATGCTGTAGTGGCGATCAGAGCTGTCTTCCGTAGCAGTTTCAACCCGGTTCGACTCCTGGCCATCGCAAGGTCTATACAGGGTAGACACTGAAATCTTTATTTATTTATTTATTTTACAGCTGAGATGGATTTAGGAGGTCACCTCCGAGTGGTAATTTTGTTTTTATTTTCATCGCAGGATCGAGAGGGGGGCAACGGGTTTGGGAAAGAGGAGGCCTTCAATCCAGCAGTGGATTGAGCCTGAGTGGTAATGGTGGTGATGATGATGATGATAACTGTGTCAACAGCAAGCTGCTCAACAGCAACAGCGACAGTGGTATAGTGGTGAGCATAGCTGCCTTCCAAGCAGTTGACCCGGGTTCGATTCCCGGCTGTCGCAGGGGTTATTTATTATTTTAAATTTGTCCGAGTTGAACTCAGATGGAGAGAGAGAGGGGGAGAGAGAGGTCACAGTGGGAGTCGCAGGAGCTGCTGCTGCTACTGCGGGTGGCCTCGTGCAAGGCGGCACAGCAAGTAGGACTCCCCATCCTGCGTCGTCATCAGCAGCCGCGATCAATCCACTGCTGGATGAAGGCCTGGTGACGTCACTTCACGAGCGGAGTTTTTGTCGATTGTACCACTCACAGCTGATCTCCTGAATCCAGCTGTTAAAAAAAATGAAAAAACAACAACTCAGACTTGCGACAGCCGGGAATCGAACCCGGGTCAACTGCTTGGAAGGCAGCTATGCTCACCACTATACCGCTGTCGCTGTTGCTGTTGAGCAGCTTGCTGTTGACCCACTCATCATCAACATCATCATCAGCCACATCATTATCATCACCATCATCCATGCTCAATCCACTGCTGGATGAAGGCCTCTGCCATCCCTTTGCCAGGGGAGAGTGCAGCCCCACGAGGTCCCCGACCGCACGGCAGGGGCTGTGGAGGAGCGGACACGAGACGGAGCATCGCCAGACAGTCACGGATGATCATCACCACCATCATCACCATCATCACCATCATCATCACCATCATCATCATCACCATCATCATCATCACCACCACCACCATCATCACCACCATCACGATCATCATCACCACCACCATCACGATCATCATCACCACCATCATCACCATCATCACCACCATCACAATTATCAGCATCATCATCACCATCATCACCATCATCATCACCACCACCATCATCATCATCACCACCATCACTATCATCACCACCATCACCATCATCACCACCACCATCATCACCACCATCATCACCATCACCATCATCACCACCACCATCATCACCACCATCATCATCATCACCACCACCACCATCATCATCACGATCATCATCATCATCACGATCATCATCACGATCATCATCACCACCACCATCATCATCACGATCATCATCATCATCACCATCATCATCATCACCACCACCACCATCATCATCACCACCATCACTATCATCACCACCATCACCATCATCACCACCACCATCATCACCACCATCATCATCATCACCATCATCACCACCATCATCACCACCACCATCATCACCACCATCATCATCATCACCACCACCACCACCACCATCATCATCACGATCATCACCATCATCATCATCACTATCATCAACACCACCATCATTTTCATGACCGCCACCGTCATCACCACCACCATCACCACCACCATCATAACCACCATCATCACCACCATCACCACCACCATCACCATCATCGCCATCACCACCACTATCACCACCACCATCACCACCCTCAGCAGCAGCAGCCTCGAGTCACTCGGCGAGTCTCTCACGGGCTCTGTGCATCACCACTCACAGAGGGATATTTACCCCCAGCACTGCTGGGTCAAGTCACCTGCTGTGAGTGTGAGCTGCTGTGATGCTGTAGTGGCGATCAGAGCTGTCTTCCGTAGCAGTTTCAACCCGGTTCGACTCCTGGCCATCGCAAGGTCTATACAGGGTACACACGTTATTCTTTATTTATTTACTTTACAGCAGAGATGGATTTAGGAGGTCACCTCCGAGTGGTAATTTTGTTTTTCATCGCAGGATCGAGAGGGGGGGTAACTGGTTTGGGAAAGAGGAGACCTTCAATCCAGCAGTGCATTGTGCCTGAGTGGTAATGGTGGTGATGATGATAACTGTGTCAACAGCAAGCTGCTCAACAGCAACAGCGACAGTGGTATAGTGGTGAGCATAGCTGCCTTCCAAGCAGTTGACCCGGGTTCGATTCCCGGCTTCGATTCCCGGCTGTCGCAAGCTACAGTTTAATATATTTTGTTTGTATTTAAATAGAGGCGCCTCATCCACGACGCGTGAACAAACACCGACCGCGTGCAACACAAAGCGACGGTTCGTTAAACTTTGACAACTTATTGTGGTGGTGACGCTGCCGCTCCATTGGTGTGACGAGCACAATCGACAAAAACTCCGCTCGTGAAGTGACGTCACCAAGCCTTCATCCAGCAGTGGATTGATCGCGGCTGCTGATGCCGACGCAGGATGGGGAGTCCTACTTGCTGTGCCGCCTTGCACGAGGCCACCCGCGGTAGCAGCAGCTCCTGCGACGCGATGATTTGTCTAATTTTAACGAACCATCGCTTTGTGTTGCACGCGGTCGGTATTTGTTCACTCGTTATGGATGAGGCGCCTCTATTTAAACACAAAAAATATATATAAAAACTTTAGCGTGCGACAGCCGGGAATCGAACCCGGGTCAACTGCTTGGAAGGCAGCTATGCTCACCACTATACCACTGTCGCTGTTGCTGTTGAGCAGCTTGCTGTTGACCCACTCATCATCACCACCACCACCGCCATCAACATCGTGAGCAAGGCTCAATCAACTGCTGGATGAAGGCCTCCTCCCCTAATCCGTTGCCACACTCTCGATCCTGCGATGTTAAATTTGACCACTCACAGCTGATCTCCTGAATCCATCTCCGCTGATAAAATTAATATTTGATTTTTAAAAAAATCAGCTCGGACTTGCGACAGCCGGGAATCGAACCCGGGTCAACTGCTTGGAAGGCAGCTATGCTCACCACTATACCACTGTCGCTGGTGATGTTGAGCATCTTGTTATATTTTATTATTTTATTGTTTCCCTTCAACGTGACTTTACCAAAAGAGCTAGGAGTATGAGTTATTGGCACCGTCATCGATTCTCGAGAGAGTATCGGTAGCTCATTAGACCTCCTTTGCCAGTACCAAAATATAATAAGGGTTTTTTCCCCTTTTTTCTGGCAACAAAACTGAAACCTTTTTACAAGGAATCATGTTACTGCATTAACCGCAATACTTGTGGTCAGAATGCAAACAAAAAAAACACACTATGATAATATATGATGATGCATTGTCCTTGAATCTGATTGGTCCACACCAAAGACAGCTTTCTTTTGAGCCTCGTCTCAATTGGTGCTAGACCAGAGGGGCAAGTGCTGTCAGTGAGCATCTATGAAGGCCGGCACGGCACACGAGGGGGTGGGTGGCCAGCACCACGCCCGGGCCGCCTTTGTCTCCCCAGTGGCGATGTTTACTGCACAGTGTACCAGGTACACATTTGAGGCCGAGTCAACCTAGGGGAGGGCCAGGGCGAGTTCAGATAATCGTCACTGGTGCTGAACTTGAGGCCGCCGGGTTCGTACCGCTACACAACCACTCGACACACATTGTTCTCGCTTGAATCAAATACAAACGTAAACCGTTTTAACGGCTGAGATCTTTTATTGACATGTCAATATCACGATTTGCGAATTTCGGTTAACTTGTGACACGTAATTTTTTTTTATATTCTTGGTTCTTTCGGTAAAGTCACGTAGAGGGGAAACAATGAAATAATAAAAATATAAAACAATAAAATTCTCTACGACGTTTCGACTGCAACACAAGCAGTCATCATCAGGTGTGAAAACCACAGCAAGAATTTTATTGTTTCATATTTTTATTATTTTATTGTTTTCCCCTCTACGTGACTTTACCGAAAGAACCAAGAATATGAATCCCTGCAGTCACGAAAGCTTTAAATGAAGAAATGTATTTTTTTGTTTCCTGTACACCGTTTGACCATTAGATTTTTGTTTCGTCCAAAGATGCCTTTTTTTGAGCGTGCCTTAAATAATCTCTTAACTTTACATCCATCTGCGTGTTGGTACTCACGAGGTGTTGACGTCTTATTCTGTGCTCGTAGAACGCCTTCGACCGCGGCGCTTAACATTATTTAAACAACGGTACGGACAAAGAATTGTATCGAGATGACAGGGGCGGGCAAGCGCATGAGGAATGGGTGACTAGGAGGGGTGCAAAGGGGATAGGGAGGAGGAGGGGAGCTGGTCACGATCGATGGGTGCGTAGGGGGTTCGGGGAGGGTGAAGAAGTGGAGGGGAGAGAAGGGGAAGAGAATGGGCAATGGACGAAGAGGCCGGGGAGCTTAGCCAAATTTCGCGGCGAGCTCGTCCAACGCACGACACGGTGTGGGGTGTGGTCTGTTGGGGGCGTGGTCTCGGTTAAGGGCGTGGTCTCGGTTAAGGGCGTGGTCAGCAGGAGGGGGGCATGGTCGGCGCCGCCCAACCGCAGTCCCAAGGGGTGTTCACGAGCACGGCGGCAGCTCCTCCTCTTCCTCCTCCTCCTCATCGTCTTCCTTTCCCCCGAGCTCGATGATCCTCAGGCTCTGGGTGACACAACCCACGGCCAGGGCGGGCAGCAGCGGTTGCGTGAACTCGTGGTGGAACGCGTGTAGCGTCACCGCGCCGCCACCGCCGCCGCCGCCGCCGCCGCCCGCCGAGATGCCGCAGAACGTCAGCAGCCCCGCCTCCCAGTCCAGATAGATGCCGACCCGCCGCAGGTGAGGAGTGCCCCCGGCCAGCTTCAGCGGCACCTTCGACCCGCCGTGCCACGCCACGAGGCTCTTGCTGTCCCGCAGGAGGCACCACGACTCGTCGTTCTCCCCGAGGCGGCATTCGGTGCCGGCTCCCTTGCGCGCGATGGTGGCGTACGCGGCGCCCACGCGGTACCAGCCGCAGCCGGCGACGTCCACCTCCCAGTAGCGGCGGCCCGAGGACAGGGGCTCGGAGCAGAGGGCCTGCTTGGCCGTGTCGAATCGCTCGGGGGCGTCGGGCAGGGCCTGCGGGCACCGCGCCAGCGTCATCCTCCGGAGGTCGGGGGAGAAGCGCAGCTCCGGGTGGGCCGAGTCCACGTTCAGAGTCGGCGAGCAGCCGTCTGTGTGCGCGGTGACACGATAGCACCACCACAAACCCAGGGCGTTAAGATGGCTAAAGAGATGTTAACTACCTCACCACCTGGTATGCACGAGGTCGTGGGTTCGATCCCTACCCCAACGACGATGCCTGATGTTTCGATTTAAAGCTTTCGTGACTGCAAGGATTCATCTTCTTTGGTTCTTTCGGTAAAGTCACCACGTAGAATGAGAATACAATAATTCTATGCTAATTCCTTTGTCAGGGCGCTCTGTTTCTTCTCACACAGCTTAAAGGTCGCGGTCTGAGCTTGGCTGTGTTCGCTCCAGCGCTGTCCTCCAGACAGTCTCGTCCCTTCACCTGAAGAAGGCCGCTTGTGTTGTGGCCGAAACGTCGTGAGAATATTATTGTGTTATTTTATTTTATCAATTTATTATTTTATTCTCATTCTACGTGACTTTACCGAAAGAACCAAAGAAGATGCTTGCTGTGTATTTTGAGTTTTCATAGTAACTACCTTGCCTGGCATGCAGGAGGTCATGGGTTCGATCCCGACCCTGATGATCCCTGCCATATATTTGGAGTCCGCGTGTTAACTACCTCGCCTGGTATGCAGGAGGTCATGGGTTCGATCCCGACCCCCTGCTGTATACTTGTAAGTTTGCGACTCTCTCCCCATTTTGGTCACGTGGCATTTTCTCCGGATCCTTCGGTTTACCCTCTCCACGTTTAGGATCGGCATCATGCGTTCAGAGTATGTGGCTGCTACCATTAATTTCCAGCTGATGGTGATGATGATGATGATAAGCCACTTCGGCGGGCTATCGTTTGTGATAGCCAGGTCGCTTCTGAAAAAAAGCGCTACATAGAAGCTTGGTGGGACCTTACCTGGTAAAATAAAATAAACAGGTGAGTTAATTACAGTAAAACAATCTCCGCGTCGAGTGCTACGTACATCTCCTGATAAACTCGCGATAGCCAAGCTCCCCAAAGTGACGTGCCGGATCTCCCGGTGACGCCTCGCTCTGGGAGGCTCTGAAGGATGCCAGGAATCCATCGATGCGTTCCTGCAGCGCGGCCGCGTCCACGAACTCCAAGGGCGGGTCGAGCGCCGGCTCCACCTGCACGCTTTCCAGGCTCACAAAGCTGGCGACCGCGAGGGTAGCGCCGCACAAGCGATGGTCTGAGATGACCGTGAGTGGCGACGGGGGGGCCATGGCAAGGTGTATGTTATGTATGTATGTCTATACTCTTTGGTTCTATTCGGTAAAGTCACGTAGGTAAACATAAAATAACAAAAAATCACGACGTTTCGGCCACAACACAAGTGGCCTTCATCAGGTGAAGGGACTGGACTGTCCAGAGGACAGCGTGACTTTACCGAATAGAACCAAAAAGTATGGATCGTTGCAGTCACGAAAGCTTCAAATCTAGAATTGATAACCTCTACGAGGAGGACTTTCACCTATCTGTTAGAGCGTTCAACAGACAATGGGACAAGAAGTCAAAGCTCATCACTCCAATGCTGTCCTCTGGACAGTCCAGTCCCTTCACCTGATGAAGGCCACTTGTGTTGTGGCCGAAACGTCGTGATTTTTTGTTATTTTATTTTTACCTACGTGACTTTACCGAATAGAACCAAAGAGTATGGATCCTTGCAGTCACGACAGCTTCAAATCTAGAGTATGTATGTCTGTATGTATGTCAATATGTATGTTGAACTTATTTTGCACCGTCTGCAGCCAACCATGCTCATATCGAAGGTGGCGGGCGAAGGACAAAATAAAAACACATCAGCTCTAAAGAAATTACCATTGGAAACCTCATTTGCCAGTAACAAAATATGATAATTGTTTTTTTACCTTTTTATCTGGCAACAAAACTGACACACATTGACCACAATACCTGCGGTCGGAACACAAACAAAAAACAACAACTCTGATAATATATGCACTGTCCTTGAAATTGATTGGTCCACACCCGAGACAGCTTTCTTTAGAGCCTCGTCTCACATGGTGTTGGACCAGAAGACGCCAAAAGGCGCACAACTCAAAGACAATGCACCATCAAAGTATGAGAGCTCGGGGTAAGCATTTACACCATTGGGAACCTCATTTGCCAGTAACAAAATATGATAATTGGTTTTTAACCTTTTTATCTGGCAACAAAACTGACACCTTTTTTACAAGGAGTCATGTTTACATTGACCACAATACCTGCGGTCGGAACGCAAACAATGTAAACATGACTCCTTGTAAATAAAGGTGTCAGTTTGTTGCCAGATAAAAAAGGCAATAAAACAATTATCTAAAGAAATTAGTTTGATGATGATTACGATGGTGGTGATGAAAATGGTGGTGATGACGATTGTGATCATGGTAATGATCAGGATAGTGGTCGTGACGATGAAGGCGCGAGACCACGGATCACACAATCCCAGATGTTCTGTCACCGTAGCTAACAACCACCACTTTTACATGTTTCCCCTGGCGTTATTGCTGCAATCTATACGGCATCTACTGCCACCTTGAATTTGTTGAAGGATCATAACATTCAACTATGACATCTATACAAACTGTTGCTTACATGCCCGTACGAAAGAAGAAGATTGTTCTCCCCGTGGTCGCGTGGAATTTTTACTCCTGGTCCTCCGGTTTATCCATCCACATTTTAGAATCGACATGCGGTTTAGATAATATATTGACTGCTGCTATACATTTCCATGTGATGACGATAAGCCGACTTACGTGGACCAATTACTTGTGAGAGCCAGGTCGCTTCTTAAAACGGAGCTCTATAGCTTAGTGGGCCTTACCTGGAAAAATAAATTGTTTAGTTTTTTTAGTTTTAAATAACAACCCCACTCTTATACTCTACCACTATCATCGTATGCGGAATTGTATCATTGCTGCAGAGTGCCTTTGAATAAGGTGCTGCTAGATAAATTTAGATGAGATCCAACACTGCACCACCAAGCCTCCATAGAGGCGACTGAATGGCTTTATGACTTCGATATGAACGCACACACACACACATATAAAACGCTGTTAACTTCGCCGGTGTATACGTGTCATTCAGAAGCAAAGAAAATAACAGATGCAGAGGACTTACCTGTCCCAGTTTGTCATGCATTTCTGGAACACACGCAGGTACACACAGGCACACACTTAGACTCACGTTGTTGGATAATACAGAACACGATTTTTTCAAATGAAACTCCCAAGGGTATGGGTGGGGACAGTCGTGATGGAGACAGTAGGGGTAGTCGTAGGTGGGGACAGTATGGATAGTGGTGGGTGGGGACAGTATGGTTGGGCATGGTAGGGGTGGGTGGGGACAGTAGGGGTCGGGGTAGACAGTAGGGGTCGGTGTGGACAGTAGGGGTCGGGGTGGACAGTAGAGGTCGGGGTGGACCGCCTTCAAGACGATGACCAAACTCCCTCTTGGAGCAGCGAGCGGATAACAACCACGATTTGGATATCGTCCCCCGCTGCAAGAAACCAGCGTCCCCACAAGAACCCGTATCGCGAGCCTCCACACGACGCTAAGCGGAGGGGACCGACGTGCCGCGTCGTTCCAGGGGATAGATGTCCCACGGCAAACCTGGATGAACTCCACGTGGTCCTCGGTCGCCTCCAGATCGTCGACGGCTCTCAGCGCCTCCTGCGCTTCGGCCAGCACCTCGGCGCAGCTCCCGATGTCGCGCCGGATCGCCGAGAGTTTGGCGTCGCGCTCCGCGTCCACGGCCCTCAGCGCCGACTCGCGGTCCTCGGCGACGAGGCGAAGGAGGTCGCCGTAGCTGGCGCCCAGCCTCGACTTTGTCTCCTCGGCCGCTTCCTGGCAGTATGGCACGCGCGCGCAGCAAGCGGTGTGGTTTGCGAGTTAAGAGCCGGTGCGTTTTTTTGGTTTGAATTCATCGTTAATTTTTTGGTTCCGTTCGTCGTTTCGAACTTCATCCAGCGGTCATCGAGTCGCGTCTACGAAGGCCCGTAAAAGTCCAGGAGTCTGAATCCGTGGATTTTCAAGTCCGTGGACGACAGCCCCGTGGAAAGCCGAGTCCGGTCGAAGAGACACCCACAGAGACCCACAGAGACCCACAGAGACCCAGACCCATAGACACCCAGAGACCCACAGAGACACCGTTAGAGACCAACAAAGGAGACCCACAAAGGAGACCCACAGATTAGCACGGTTGGCTAGGTACGGTGCGAAAGAAATTCAAGGTACGCACGTACACAGAGACGCACAGACACCCAGACCCATAGAGACCCACAGAGACACCCATAGAGGACTCACAGAGGAGACCTAACAGATTGGCACGGTTGGCTACGTACGGTGCGAAAGAATATCATCATACATGCACAGACTCACAGACACACAGACCAGCATACCAAGCGAGGTAGTTAATATGCAAACTCCAAATATACAAGAGGCATCGTCAGGGTCGGGATCGAACCCACAAAACCTCCTGTATTTAGGCGAGGTAGTTTATATCTCCTAGCCACCAATAGACTTTGCTGTGACCACCTAATCTAAACTAAACCAAACTATAAAATGTTTTACCACATTTGGGAGCAAATGAAATGCGGATACCTGGCAGCAGATGCGGATACCTGGCGTTCATCATCATTTCCAGTCATCAATTTCGCTTTCACATAATCACAGATTCGCCCCCCCATACCCCCCCCCCCCCACTCGTCTACTTCATCCACCTCATCAACCACCGCTACATTCACGCACGGTGCCGTACCTTCCTTAATCCTCTGTAAAGCACCTCGGTTAGGACGCTACGTAGATTACGTTAAGATAAGATAAGGGGCCGTCCTTAAATGACGTCACGCGATTTTTGACGATTTTTGACCCCCCCCCCCTTCGTCACACCTCACAAAAAGTCAGCCCCCCCCCTCAAATATGACGTCACAAAGCTCTGCCCCACCCCCCCCCAAAAAATATATAAAAAACATGCTTCAAATCGCTTTAAACTATCGTCATTGTAGTAGTGCGTATTTAATGTGGCGCTGCACTCTGATGTTGCAGGAGAAAACATTTATTAAAAAGTCTATTTAATTAAGTAGAACGTGTTTGTCTATATTTATTTATAAAGTTGCGCATTTTGATGTGACGTCACATTTCTAAACTCCACCCCCCCCCCTCGTCACACATCGTCACAAATGTCTGACCCCCCCAGATGCGTGACGTAATTTATGGCCGGCCCCATAGGATGCCTGCTGGTAGCATGCCGTGTCAACCCACACGGTTTACCCCGCATTCTTGTGCAGGGGGAAATGAGTTTCAGTGCTGTTTGTTTGTCCCCTTGTGATGGGGACTTTGTGGGATGAACCTTGAAGTTGATAAGGGCACGGGGTGACCAACGAGGTTTGAATTGGGTCTGTAATGAGGTAGGGCACTGATAAGGGGTTGACAGGTTTGTAGTGGTGAGTGTAGTAGTGGTGAGTGTCGTAGTGGTGAGTGTACTATTGGTGAGTTTAGTGGTGGTGAGTGTAGTGGTGAATGTACTAGTGGTGAGTGTAGTGGTGGTGAGTGTACTAGTGGTGAGTGTAGTAGTGGTGAGTGCAGTGGTGTGTGTACTAGTGGTGAGTGTACTAGTGGTGAGTGTACTAGTGGTGAGTTTAGTGGTGGTGAGTGTAGTGGTGAATGTACTAGTGGTGAGTGTAGTGGTGAGTGTACTAGTGAGTGTACTAGTGAGTGTAGTGGTGAGTGTAGTAGTGGTGAGCGTAGTGGTGAGTGTACTAGTGGTGAGTGTAGTAGTGGTGAGTGTACTACTGGTGAGTTTAGTGGTGGTGAGTGTAGTGGTGAATGTACTAGTGGTGAGTGTCGTAGTGGTGAGTGTAGTAGTGGTGAGTGTACTAGTGGTGAGTGTAGTGGTGAGTGTACTAGTGGTGAGTGTAGTAGTGGTGAGTGTAGTAGTGGTGAATGTACTAGTGGTGAGTGTAGTGGTGAGTTTAGTGGTGGTGAGTGTAGTGGTGAATGTACTAGTGGTGAGTGTACTGGTGAGTGTACTAGTGGTGAGTTTAGTGGTGGTGAGTGTAGTGGTGAGTGTAGTAGTGGTGAGTGTAGTAGCGGTGAGTGTAGTGGTGAGTGTACTAGTGGTGAGTGTAGTAGTAGTGAGTGTAGTGGTGAGTGTACTAGTGGTGAGTGTAGTAGTGGTGAGTGTACTAGTGGTGAGTGTACTAGTGGTGAGTGTACTAGTGGTGAGTGTAGTAGTGGTGAGTGTACTAGTGGTGAGTGTAGTAGTGGCGAGTGTACTAGTGGTGAGTGTAGTGGTGAGTGTACTAGTGGTGAGTGTAGTAGTGGTGAGTGTACTAGTGGTGAGTGTAGTGGTGAGTGTAGTGGTGAGTGTACTAGTGGTGAGTGTAGTGGTGAGTGTACTAGTGGTAAGTGTACTAGTGGTGAATGTACTAGTGGTGAGTGTACTAGTGGTGAGTGTAGTGGTGAGTGTACTAGTGGTGAGTGTACTAGTGGTGATTATCTAATTGTGTTTCTCCCTCGTGATGGGGAATTTGTAGGATGAACTTTGAGGTTTATAAGGGGCACGGGGTGACCAATCAGGTCTGAGTTGGTTCATAACAAGGTAGCGCACTGATAAGGGGTTAACAGCTACGAAGTTTCAGTTTTGCTTTTAATTTATTTGGTATAGCCCTGTGAGCCATTCGGATAACTGATCAATTTATTTTGAAGTAACTCATGAGCTAAGGGGCCGTCCATAAATGACGTCACGCGATTTTGGACGATTTTTGACCCCCCCCCCCCTCGTCACGTGACGTTACAAAAAGTCAGCCCCCCTCAAATATGACGTCACGAAGCTCTGCCGCCCCCCCAAAAAATATATATATAAAAAATGCTTCAAATCGCTTTAAACTATTGTCATTGTAGTGCGTATTTAACGCGACGCTGCAACTCTGATGTTGTAGGAGAAAACATTTATTAAAAAGTCTATTTAATTAAGTAGAACGTGTTGTCTATATTTATTTAAAGTTCGCGCATTTTGATGTGACGTCACAAATGTCTGACCCCCCCCCAGGTGCGTGACGTCATTTATGGACGGCCCCAAAGAAGATCTTAAAACCTGGTTTTGCAAACGAAAACCAACACCGACAAACGCAAGTCACAATTAAAAATGAATCAATAATTAACAATAACAGATCGGGGGGAAGGAAAGATCAGCGAGCAAATCATCATGGGGCAATTTTATTTTTAAATCATCTTTTTTTTTTAAAGTAACGTAAAATGTAGATTGCCAACAAATGCCACGCTGCGTCTCTAATAAAACGACTTAATTTAAATGTCGGCGTAGTTTTTTTAAAAAAATTGTTATTATGCGGATACAGCCTCAAACAAAGGGTGAACTAAAAACAACTCTCCAGTAAGCAGCGTGGTGGACTGTGGTGTCAGGTAGGGGCAGGGGGGGGAGGGGGGAGGGGAGGGGGAGGGGGGGGAGTGGGGGATGAGGGTGTGGGGGGGTGAGTGGGGAGTGAATGGGGGGTGAGTGGGGGGGGTGAGTGGGGGGGGGTGAGTGGGGGGTGAGTGGGGGGTGAGTGGGGGGTGAGTGGGGGGTGAATGGGGGGTGAGTGGGTGGGGTGAGTGGGGGGGGTGAGTGGGGGGTGAGTGGGGGGTGAGTGGGGGGGTGAGTGGGGGGAGTGAGTGGGGGGTGTGAGTGGGGGGTGAGTGGGGGGAGTGAGTGGGGGGTGAGTGGGGAGTGAGTGGGGGGTGTGAGTGGGGGGTGAGTGGGGGGAGTGAGTGGGGGGTGAGTGGGGGGGTGAGTGGGGGGGGGTGAGTGGGGGGTGAGTGGGGGGTGAGTGGGGGGGGTGAGTGGGGGGTGAGTGGGGGGTGAGTGGGGGGGGTGAGTGGGGGGTGAGTGGGGGGTGAGTGGGGGGGGTGGGTGGGGGGTGATTGGGGGGGGTGAGTGGGGGGGTGAGTGGGGGAGTGAGTGGGGGGTGAGTGGGGGGTGTGAGTGGGGGGTGAGTGGGGGGAGTGAGTGGGGGGTGAGTGTGGGGGTGAGTGGGGGGGGGTGAGTGGGGGGTGAGTGGGGGGTGAGTGGGGGGGGTGGGTGGGGGGTGATTGGGGGGGGGTGAGTGGGGGGGTGAGTGGGGGAGTGAGTGGGGGGTGAGTGGGGGGTGTGAGTGGGGGGTGAGTGGGGGGAGTGAGTGGGGGGTGAGTGGGGGTGAGTGGGGGGGGTGAGTGGGGGGTGAGTGTGGGGTGAGTGGGGGGGGGTGAGTGGGGGTGAGTGGGGGGTGAGTGGGGGGGGTGAGTGAGGGTGAGTGAGGGTGAGTGGGGGGTGAGTGGGGGGGGTGAGTGGGGGGTGAGTGGGGGGTGAGTGGGGGGGGTGAGTGAGGGTGAGTGGGGGTGAGTGGGGGGTGAGTGGGGGGGGTGAGTGGGGGGTGAGTGGGGGGTGAGTGGGGGGGGTGAGTGAGGGTGAGTGAGGGTGAGTGGGGGGTGAGTGGGGGGGGTGAGTGGGGGGTGAGTGGGGGTGAGTGGGGGGGGTGAGTGGGGGGTGAGTGGGGGGGGTGAGTGGGGGGTGAGTGGGGGTGAGTGGGGGTGAGTGGGGGGGGGTGAGTGGGGGGTGAGTGGGGGTGAGTGGGGGGGGTGAGTGGGGGGTGAGTGGGGGTGAGTGGGGGGGTGAGTGGGGGGTGAGTGGGGGTGAGTGGGGGTGAGTGGGGGGGGGTGAGTGGGGGGTGAGTGGGGGGTGAGTGGGGGGGGTGAGTGGGGGGGGTGAGTGGGGGGGGTGAGTGGGGGGGTGAGTGGGGGGGGGGGGGTGAGTGGGGGGTGAGTGGGGGGTGAGTGGGGGTGAGTGGGGGGGGGTGAGTGGGGGGTGAGTGGGGGGGAGTGAGTGGGGGGTGAGTGGGGGGGTGAGTGGGGGGAGTGAGTGGGGGGTGAGTGGGGGGGGTGAGTGGGGGGTGTCCACCTGCACGAGACGGGTTCCGTGCCGCAGGCTGCTCGTCCTCCCGCGAGCTGTCGTCTCCGTGTCGCGAAGTTTCCGCTTCACCAAACTCACGCGCTCCTGCGTTGGGCGAGACACAGCAACAGTAGCATCAGCGGTAGCAGCAGCAGTAACTGCAGCAGTAGCAGCAGCAGTAATAGCAGTAGTAGTAGTAGCAGCAGCAGTAGCAACAGCAGTAGTAGCAGTAGTAGTAGCAGTAGCAGCAGCAGTAGCAGCAGTAGTAGTAGTAGCAGCAGTAGCAGTAGTAGCAGTAGCAACAGCAGTAGTAGCAGTAGTAGTAGTAGCAGCAGTAGTAGTAGTAGCAGCAGCAGTAGCAACAGCAGTAGTAGCAGTAGTAGTAGCAGTAGCAGCAGCAGTAGCAGCAGTAGTAGTAGTAGCAGCAGTAGCAGTAGTAGCAGTAGCAGCAGTAGTAGTAGCATCAGTAGTAGCAGCAGTAGTAGCAGTAGAGTAGCAGTAGCAGCAGTAGTAGTGGTAGCAGCAGTAGTAGCAGCAGTAGTAGCAGTAGTAGTAGCAGCAGCAGTAGTAGCAGTAGTAGCAGCAGCAGTAGCAGCAGTAGCAGCAGTAGTAGTAGCAGCAGTAGCAGTAACTGCAGTAGTAGCAGCAGCGGTAGTAGCAGCAGCAGCAGCATCAACAGTAGCAGCAGTAGCAGCAGCATCAACAGTAGCTGCAGTAGCAGCATCAACAGTAGCAGCAGTAGCAGCATCAACAGTAGCAGCAGTAGCAGCATCAACAGTAGCAGCAGTAGCAGCAGCATCAACAGTAGCAGCAGCAGTAGCAGCAGCAGTAATAGCAGTAGCTGCAGCAGTAGCAGCAGCAACAGTAGCTGCAGCAGTAGCAGCATCAACAGTAGCTGCAGCAGTAGCAGCAGCATCAACAGTAGCTGCAGCAGTAGCTGCTGCAGCTACTGCTGTCGCCAGCCCCCAGTACCCCTCGCCGTCCGAGTCGTCAGGTTTCATGTTTTTGTTGTCACCGAAGCCCAAACCCCCACCCCACCTGTGGCATGCTGTGAACACACAAAGACAAAGGTCCCCCGTGTAGCCTGTGACAGACTGTAGGGGCAAGTGCTGTTAGCGAGTAGCAGCAGCGCCTGTGAACACACAAAGACAAAGGTCCCCCGTGTAGCCTCAAGCAGACTGCTGGGGCAAGTGTTGTTAGCGAGTAGCAGCAGCGCCTGTGAACACACAAAGATAAAGGTCCCCCGTGTAGCCTGTAACAGACTGTAGGGGCAAGTGCTGTTAGCGAGTAGCAGCAGCGCCTGTGAACACACAAAGACAAAGGTCCCCCGTGTAGCCTGTAACAGGCTGTAGGGGCAAGTGCTGTTAGCGAGTCAGCAGCAGTGCTGCGCTAACCACTGCACCACCGCTCCCCACACACACAGACACAGTGAGATTGACAAGAGACCCTTAGATCATTCAGTTTGTTGAGTCAGCTGGGTCAAGAGGTGGTGGTTGGTGGTGGTGGGGGGGGGGTTGTTGTTGGTGGTGGGGGGTTGTTGGTGGTGGTGGGGGTTGTTGGTGGTGGTGGGGGGTTGTTGTTGGTGGGGGGTTGTTGTTGGTGGTGGTGGTGGGGGGTTGTTGGTGGTGGTGGTGGGGGGGTTGTTGGTGGTGGTGGGGGTTGTTGTTGGTGGTGGGGGGGTTGTTGGTGGTGGGGGGTTGTTGTTGGTGGTGGTGGTGGGGGGTTGTTGTTGGTGGTGGTGGGGGGTTGTTGGTGGTGGTGGTGGGGGGGGGGGTTGTTGGTGGGGGGGGTTGTTGTTGTTGTTGGTGGTGGTTTTGTTGTTGGTGGTGGTGGGGGGTTGTTGGTGGTGGTGGGGGGGGGTTGTTGGTGGTGGGGGGTTGTTGTTGGTGGTGGGGGGTTGTTGGTGGTGGTGGGGGGTTGTTGGTGGTGGTGGTGGGGGGGGGGTTGTTGGTGGGGGGGGTTGTTGTTGTTGTTGGTGTTGGTGGTGGTTTTTGTTGTTGTTGTTGGTGGTGGTGGGGGGTTGTTGGTGGTGGTGGGGGTTGTTGGTGGTGGTGGGGTTGTTGGTGGTGGGGGGGGTTGTTGGTGGTGGGGGGGGTTGTTGTTGGTGGTGGGGGGTTGTTGGTGGTGGTGGGGGGTGTTGGTGGTGGTGGGGGGGGGGTTGTTGGTGGTGGGGGGTTGTTGTTGGTGGTGGTGGGGGGTTGTTGGTGGTGGTGGTGGGGGGGTTGTTGGTGGTGGTGGGGGTTGTTGTTGGTGGTGGGGGGGTTGTTGGTGGTGGTGGTGGGGGGGGGGGGGGGTTGTGGTGGGGGGGGTTGTTGTTGTTGTTGGTGTTGGTGGTGGTTTTTGTTGTTGTTGTTGTTGGTGGTGGTGGGGGGTTGTTGGTGGTGGTGGGGGGTTGTTGGTGGTGGTGGTGGGGGGTTGTTGGTGGTGGTGGGGGGGGGTTGTTGGTGGTGGGGGGTGTTGTTGGTGGTGGTGGTGGGGGGTTGTTGGTGGTGGTGGTGGGGGGGTTGTTGGTGGTGGTGGGGGTTGTTGTTGGTGGTGGGGGGTTGTTGGTGGTGGTGGTGGGGGGGGGGGGTTGTTGGTGGGGGGGTTGTTGTTGTTGTTGGTGTTGGTGGTGGTTTTTGTTGTTGTTGTTGGTGGTGGTGGGGGGTTGTTGGTGGTGGTGGGGGGTTGTTGGTGGTGGTGGGGTTGTTGGTGGTGGGGGGGTTGTTGGTGGTGGGGGGGGTTGTTGTTGGTGGTGGGGGGTTGTTGGTGGTGGTGGGGGGTTGTTGGTGGTGGTGGGGGGGGTTGTTGGTGGTGGGGGGTTGTTGTTGGTGGTGGTGGTGGGGGGTTGTTGGTGGTGGGGGGGTTGTTGGTGGTGGTGGGGGTTGTTGTTGGTGGTGGGGGGGTTGTGGTGGTGGGGGGTTGTTGTTGGTGGTGGGGGGGTTGTTGTTGGTGGTGGTGGGGGGTTGTTGGTGGTGGTGGTGGGGGGGGGGTTGTTGGTGGGGGGGGTTGTTGTTGTTGTTGGTGTTGGTGGTGGTTTTTGTTGTTGTTGGTGGTGGGGGGTTGTTGGTGGTGGTGGGGGGGGGGTTGTTGGTGGTGGGGGGTTGTTGTTGGTGGTGGGGGGTTGTGGGTGGTGGTGGTGGGGGGTTGTTGGTGGTGGTGGGGGTTGTTGGTGGGGGGGGTTGTTGTTGTTGTTGGTGGTGGTTTTTGTTGTTGTTGTTGTTGTTGGTGGTGGTGGGGGGTTGTTGGTGGTGGTGGGGGGTTGTTGGTGGTGGTGGGGCTGTTGGTGGTGGGGGGGGTTGTTGGTGGTGGGGGGGGTTGTTGTTGGTGGGGGGGGGGTTGTTGGTGGTGAAGGGTTGTTGTTGGTGGTGGTGGTGGGGGGGTTGTTGTTGTTGTTGGTGGTGGTTGCTGTTGTTGTTGTTGTTGGTGGTTGCTGTTGTTGTTGCTGGTGGTGGTTGTTGTTGTTGTTGGTGGTGGTGGTTGCTGTTGTTGTTGGTGGTGGTGGTTGCTGTTGTTGTTGGTGGTGGTGGTTGCTGTTGTTGTTGTTGGTGGTGGTGGTTGTTGTTGTTGGTGGTGGTGGTGATGGTTTTTGTTGTTGGTGGTGGTTGTTGTTGTTGGTGGTGGTTTTTGTTGTTGTTGGTGGTGGTTTTTGTTGTTGTTGTTGTTGGTGGTGGTTGTTGTTGTTGGTGGTGGTGGTTTTTGTTGTTGTTGTTGGTGGTGGTTGCTGTTGTTGTTGTTGGTGGTTGCTGTTGTTGTTGTTGGTGGTGGTTTTTGTTGTTGGTGGTGGTGGTTGTTGGTGGTGGTTGCTGTTGTTGTTGTTGGTGGTGGTGGTTTTTGTTGTTGTTGGTGGTGGTTGTTGGTGGTGGTTGCTGTTGTTGTTGGTGGTGGTTGTTGTTGGTGGTGGTGGTTTTTGTTGTTGTTGTTGTTGGTGGTGGTTTTTGTTGTTGTTGTTGTTGGTGGTGGTGGTTGTTGTTGTTGTTGTTGGTGGTGGTTGTTGTTGTTGGTGGTTGTTGTTGTTGTTGGTGGTGGCTGTTGTTGTTGTTGTTGGTGGTGGTTGTTGTTGGTGGTGGCTGTTGTTGTTGTTGGTGGTGGTGGTTGTTGTTGTTGTTGTTGGTGGTAGTGGTTGTTGTTGTTGGTGGTAGTGGTTGTTGTTGTTGTTGGTGGTGGTTGTTGTTGTTGGTGGTGGTTGTTGTTGTTGTTGGTGGTGGCTGTTGTTGTTGTTGGTGGTTGTTGTTGTTGTTGGTGGTGGTTGTTGTTGTTGTTGTTGGTGGTGGTTGTTGTTGTTGGTGGTGGTTGTTGTTGTTGTTGTTGGTGCTTGTTGTTGTTGTTGGTGGTGGTTGTTGTTGGTGGTGGTGGTTGCTGTTGTTGTTGTTGGTGGTGGTTGTTGGTGGTGGTTGTTGTTGTTGTTGTTGGTGGTGGTGGTTGTTGTTGTTGGTGGTGGTGGTTGTTGTTGTTGTTGGTGGTGGTTGTTGTTGTTGTTGGTGGTGGTTGTTGTTGTTGTTGTTGGTGGTGGTTGTTGTTGTTGTTGTTGGTGGTGGTTGATGTTGTTGGTGGTGGTGGTTGATGTTGTTGTTGTTGGTTGTTGTTGTTGTTGGTGGTGGTTGTTGTTGTTGGTGGTGGTTGTTGTTGTTGTTGTTGTTGGTTGTTGTTGTTGTTGTTGGTGGTTGTTGTTGTTGTTGTTGTTGGTGGTGGTTGTTGTTGTTGGTGGTGATGGTGGTTGTTGTTGTTGTTGGTGGTTGTTGTTGGTGGTGGTGATGGTGGTTGTTGTTGTTGTTGTTGGTGGTGGTGGTTGTTGTTGGTGGTGGTGGTTGTTGTTGTTGTTGTTGGTGGTGGTTGCTGTTGTTGTTGTTGGTGGTGGTTGCTGTTGTTGTTGTTGGTGGTGGTGGTTGTTGTTGTTGTTGGTGGTGGTGGTTGCTGTTGTTGTTGTTGTTGGTGGTGGTGGTTGCTGTTGTTGTTGTTGGTGGTGGTGGTTGTTGTTGTTGTTGGTGGTGGTGGTGGTTGTTGTTGTTGTTGGTGGTGGTGGTGGTTGTTGTTGGTGGTGGTGGTTGTTGTTGTTGTTGGTGGTTGTTGTTGTTGTTGGTGGTGGTTGCTGTTGTTGTTGTTGGTGGTGGTTGTTGTTGTTGTTGGTGGTGGTTGCTGTTGTTGTTGTTGGTGGTGGTGGTTGCTGTTGTTGTTGTTGTTGTTGGTGGTGGTTGCTGTTGTTGTTGTTGGTGGTGGTGGTTGCTGTTGTTGTTGTTGGTGGTGGTGGTTGTTGTTGTTGTTGTTGGTGGTTGTTGTTGTTGTTGGTGGTTGTTGTTGTTGTTGGTGGTGGTGGTTGTTGTTGTTGTTGTTGGTGGTGGTGGTTTTTGTTGCTGTTGTTGTTGTTGGTGGTGGTTGTTGTTGTTGTTGGTGGTGTAAGCGACTCACGCTGCGCAGGGCGCGTTCCGCCTCCACGGTGACCACCTCGTGGCCTTTGTGCGACCCCACGAGAACGCACGCGGCGCACACGAGGAGGCCGTGGCAGTCGTCCGAGCCACGGCAGAAATACTCCAGCGGCTTTGAGTGATCTCGGCACCTGCGATGGCTGCTCGTCGTTCTCTCCTCCTCCTCGTCCTCCTCCTCCTTGCCCCCGTCCCTCTTCTTCTCAGACTTCTGCTGCTTGAGCAGCACGAGTTGGTCCACCATGTCGGCGAGGAGGACGTTCTTGCCGAGCTCCGGTCTCCGGGGAAAGATCCGACGGCAGTGGGGGCACGAGAAGATCCCGGCACAGGACGATGACGGCGACGGTGACGTCGCCGCCGATGACGTCACCGCCAGTGACGACACCGCGGTGGCCCACGTGCTGTCGATGCACGCGCTGCAGAACGTGTGGCCGCACGCGAGCGTCACCGGGGTGGTGAACAGCTCGAGGCAGATGGAGCACACGAGACGGTCGTCGTCGTCGTCGCCGCCGCCGTCTTTGCCGCTGCGCTGATGGGACATTTTTGAATGGCACGGCGCGGTTATTCGGAGGGGAGTTTGGCTTGGCTGGACTTGGCTGGGTTGGGCTTGGCTGGGTTGGCTTGGCTGGGCTTGGCTGAGCTTGGCTGGGTTGGCTTGGCTGGGTTGGCTTGGCTGGACTTGGCTGGGTTGTCTGGGCTGGACTTGGCTTGGCTGGCTTGGCTGGGTTGGGCTGGGCTGGGTTGGCTGGACTTGGCTGGGTTGGGCTTGGCTGAGCTTGGCTGGACTTGGCTGGGCTGGCTTGGCTGGGTTGGGCTGGGCTGGGTTGGCTGGGCTTGGCTGGGCTGGACTTGGCTGGGCTGGACTTGGCTGGGCTTGGCTGGGTTGGCTGGACTTGGCTGGACTTGGCTGGGTTGGGCTTGGCTGGGGTTGGCTGGACTTGGCTGGGCTTGGCTGGGTTGGGCTTGGCTGGGGTTGGCTGGACTTGGCTGGGCTTGGCTGGACTTGGCTGGGTTGGGCTGGGCTGGGTTGGCTGGGCTTGGCTGGGCTGGACTTGGCTGGGCTGGACTTGGCTGGGTTGGGCTGGGCTGGGTTGGGCTTGGCTGGACTTGGCTGGGTTGGGCTTGGCTGGACTTGGCTGGGCTTGGCTGGGTTGGGTTGGCTGGGCTGGACTGGGCTGGGCTGGACTGGGCTTGGCTGGGCTTGGCTGGGTTTGGCTGGGCTGGGCTTGGCTGGGCTGGGCTGGACTTGGCTGGGCTTGGCTGGGCTGGACTGGGCTTGGCTGGGTTTGGCTGGACTTGGCTGGGCTGGGCTGGACTGGGCTTGGCTGGACTGGGCTGGACTTGGCTGGGCTTGGCTGGGCTTGGCTGGAACTTGGCTGGGTTTGGCTGGGCTGGGCTTGGCTGGGTTTGGCTGGGCTGGGCTTGGCTGGGCTTGGCTGGGCTGGGCTGGACTTGGCTGGGTTGGGCTGGGCTTGGCTGGGTTGGGTTGGCTGGACTGGGCTGGGCTGGGCTTGGCTGGATTGGACTTGGTTGGCTTGGCTGGAATGGGCTTGGTTGGCTTGGCTGGGCTGGACTTGGCTGGACTTGGTTGGGTTGGCTGGACTTGGCTGGGCTGGACTGGGCTGGGCTTGGCTGGACTTGGCTGGGCTTGGCTTGGCTGGGCTGGGCTTGGCAGGGCTTGACTTGGCTGGGCTGGACTGGGCTTGGCTGGGCTGGCTTGCTTCGGAACGCAGAGAGAGACGGAGGACACGCAGTGAGACAGAGAGCCAGAAACACGCAGTGAGACAGAGAGCGAGAGAGAAAGAGAGGCACACAGAGAGAGAGAGAAAGGAAGGGAAATGCAAGGTAGAGAAGGGATAGCGAGTGAGTGTGTAGAGTCCAACGCGTCTCCAATACTGTGCTTTGCTGCGTGGGTGGGGCCGCCGTTTTTACAGCGCGCGACACGTGAGCGCGTGCTTGTGGAACGGCGCCGCCCCCCCCCCCACCTTTCCCACACCCCCCCCCCCACCTTTCCCACAGCCCCCACCCCCAACTTTCCACACACCCCCTCCCCACCTACTTCCTCCCCACCTTCTGCCCCCCACCCTCCACCCCTTTTCCCCCCCAGCTCTTCCCCCTCACCCCTTTCCCCCACCCCGCCCCATTCCACGGCCCGCCCCTTTCCACCCCCACCCATTCCCCCCACCCATTCCCCCCACCCCCCTCCACCCACCGCCCCCCACCCATTCCCCCCACCTCTTATCACCACCTCCCCGCCCACCCCCCCAGGTAGACCAGGAGCGGTATAACCGGTTGGGGGTGACCAAGCGAATCGGGGTCAACGTTGGCGGCTCCCCGTTCTCAGTTCCGTCTCAGCGGGTCGTGGGAACGTTCGTGCCACGGCATTGCAGTGCGGTCAATCGTTTGTAGTGTAGTGTATAGTGTATTGTAGTGTATTGTAGTGTATTGTGTATTGTAGTGTATTGTAGTGTATTGTAGTGTATTGTAGTGTGTAGTGTATAGTAGTGTATAGTGTATTGTAGTGTGTTGTAGTGTATAGTGTATTGTAGTGTATAGTGTATTGTAGTGTATAGTGTATTGTAGTGTGTAGTGTATAGTGTATGGTAGTGTATAGTGTATTGTAGTGTGTAGTGTATTGTAGTGTATAGTGTATTGTAGTGTATAGTGTATTGTAGTGTGTTGTAGTGTGTAGTGTATAGTAGTGTGTAGTGTATAGTGTATTGTAGTGTGTAGTGTATAGTAGTGTGTAGGGTATAGTGTATTGTAGTCTGTAGTGTATAGTGTATTGTAGTGTGTAGTGTATAGTGTATTGTAGTGTATAGTGTATTGTAGTGTGTTGTGTGTAGTGTATAGTAGTGTGTAGTGTATTGTAGTGTATTATAGTGTGTAGAGTATTGTAATGTATAGTGTATTGTAGTGTGTAGTGTATAGTGTATTGTAGTGTGTAGTGTATAGTGTATTGTAGTGTGTAGTGTATTGTAGTGTGTAGTGTATTGTAGTGTGTAGTGTATTGTAGTGTATAGTGTATTGTAGTGTATAGTGTATTGTAGTGTGTTGTGTGTAGTGTATAGTAGAGTGTAGTGTATTGTAGTGTATTATAGTGTGTAGTGTATTGTAATGTATAGTGTATTGTAGTGTGTAGTGTATAGTGTATTGTAGTGTGTAGTGTATTGTAATGTGTAGTGTATAGTAGTGTGTAGGGTATAGTGTATTGTAGTCTGTAGTGTATAGTGTATTGTAGTGTGTAGTGTATAGTGTATTGTAGTGTATAGTGTATTGTAGTGTGTTGTGTGTAGTGTATAGTAGTGTGCAGTGTATTGTAGTGTATTATAGTGTGTAGAGTATTGTAATGTATAGTGTATTGTAGTGTGTAGTGTATAGTGTATTGTAGTGTGTAGTGTATAGTGTATTGTAGTGTGTAGTGTATTGTAGTGTGTAGTGTATTGTAGTGTGTAGTGTATTGTAGTGTATAGTGTATTGTAGTGTATAGTGTATTGTAGTGTGTTGTGTGTAGTGTATAGTAGAGTGTAGTGTATTGTAGTGTATTATAGTGTGTAGTGTATTGTAATGTATAGTGTATTGTAGTGTGTAGTGTATAGTGTATTGTAGTGTGTAGTGTATTGTAGTGTGTAGTGTATAGTAGTGTGTAGTGTATTGTAGTTTGTAGTGTATTGTCGTGTGTGGTGTATAGTAGTGTGTAGTGTATTGTAGTGTGTAGTGTATAGTAGTGTGTAGTGTATAATGTATTGTAGTGTATAGTAGTGTGTAGTGTATTGTAGTGTATAGTAGTGTCTGGTGTATAGTTGTGTGTAGTGTATAGCAGTGTGTAGTAGTGTGTAGTGTCTAGTAGTGTGTAGTGTATTGTAGTTTGTAGTGTATAGTGTATTGTAGTGTGTAGTGTATAGTGTATAGTAGTGTGTAGTGTATTGTAGTGTGTAGTGTATATTAATGTGTAGTGTATTGTAGTGTATAGTAGTGTGTAGTGTATTGTAGTGTATAGTAGTGTGGAGTGTATAGTAGTGTGTAGTGTATAGTAGTGTGTATTGTGTAGTGTATAGTAGTGTGTAGTGTATTGTAGTGTGTAGTGCAGGGGTCTCAAACTCGCGGCCCGCGGGCCAATTGCGGCCCGCGGAACAATATTTTGTGGCCCCCTACTTGACATCATTTTTTACGTATTTTTTAATTATTATTTTTACCATAGCTCAGGCTCTTGACAAGTTAGCCAACGCGAATTAGCAACGTTAGTCACTTGGTTGAAACGTGATTCCGGAGTGACACCAAGTGGAAGAAAAAATATATCCTTACACCCAGTGCAAGGTACAGAGGACTGAGGAAGTGGGCGGACTCAACAAGAGTAATCAGTGACCAAATAAAGACAACAGAGTGCTGCAATAGGAAAGGGAAAAGAATTACATGGATAGCAAATAGCATGAAATGGGTGGCAAGAACAAAAGCCAAATGGTGGTTAGAACCTGAATATTATAAAGAAGAAACAAAGACAAGGAAAAAGGACAGATATGTGCAATCGCAAAGGAAAACGAATTTACCAAGAACATCTTCTTTGGTTCTTTCGGTAAAGTCACGTAGAATGAGAATAAAATAATAAATTGATAAAATAAAATAACACAATAATATTCTCACGACGTTTCGGCCACAACACAAGCGGCCTTCATCAGGTGAAGGGAGCGCTGTCCTACCAGACAGTCTCGCTCCCTTCACCTGATGAAGGCCGCTTGTGTTGTGGCCGAAACGTCGTGAGAATATTATTGTGTTATTTTATTTTATCAATTTATTATTTTATTCTCATTCTACGTGACTTTACCGAAAGAACCAAAGAAGATGAATCATTGCAGTCACGAAAGCTTTAAATCGAAATTTACCAAGAACAATTTAATCAAAAAGAGCAAGACATTTAAAGATATAAAACACGAGACAATGCACTTGATGTTAAGAATTAAGACAGGTGGAGTAACACGGACACCAGAGTTAGCTCAATAGCATCCAGAGAGATTTGGTAGAGCAGAAGGATATGTAGGAGACAGAGGACCTGGTCGCCAATCTTAAAACATGTCTACTGAGGCAACAAGATTTTTTTTCAAGCAAGCGAGCAAAGAGAGTGATGCAGCAGTCGAAGCTAGCTACGCGGTGAGTGAGATGATTGCTAAGGCGGGAAAGCCATTCAAAGACGGCGAGTTCATCAAAAAGTGCATGTTACAGGCTGCGAGTATAGTCTGTCTGGAAAAGAAGGGCCAGTTTAGCAACATCAGCCTTTCAGCCAACACAGTGGCAGAGCGCATTTCTGACCTGTCAGGTAACATATATACCATCAACTGCGTGAGAAAGCCAAACATTTCCGTGTATACTCAGTCGCTCTTGATGAGAGCACAGACATCACTGACACTGCGCAGCTCGCAATGCATGTCCGTGGTGTTGACGGCAATTTTGAAGTGACGGAGGAGTTGCTCACAGTGAATCCAATGCATTGCCAGACCACCGCTCAGGAGATGGAAGAGGTTTGCTGGAATAACAACCGACGGAGCGCCATCAATGACAGGGAGGAGAAATGGACTGGTGGCACTTGTTCAAAGAAAACTGGAAGAGGAGGGTGTGGAGGAGGCCATTGCTCTGCACTGCATTATCCAT